CAGCGCCTGGGACGGCCCTGCCGCTGTGAGGGGCTCCCGCCGTCCGCCTTGGTCGGCTTCTGTCGCCAGCTCCGCCCAGGCCCGCCCCCTCACTCGTTCTGGGAACGGGGTGCTTTTAATTCCCGTTGGGTTGTTAGCGTGAACGTGCCTGACCGAGCACATGGCCTCCGCTGCGGCCGCTGCTTGCGCTTCCAGTGTATTTCGCGTTACTGCCCTGCGTGGGGATGTGGGTGATGTGTGACTGTGAGATGCTTCTGTACGAGAAGGCCCATCGTGTGTGTCTGGTGGTACCTTCAGAGCCTGTGGGTTTTGCTGTGTCCGCAGAAAGCATCTCCAAGAGATCCCATCCTCCAGCAGCAATGTTTCCACCGGCTTCACCTGGGACTGGGAAGTCAGCAAGACCTCAGAGTTTCTCTCGGGTATGGGAGTGTCTGTCCTTAAGAAGGACCAGCTGGGCAATGAAAATACACCGCAGGACCTGCTTGTGTCATCTCCCAGTCCTCCTCTGAAGCGACAGAAGGTGAAGGAGAATGAAAAGGACTTTGTTATTATGCGTCGGCCTCGGCTGCTTCGAGAGACAGAGTCAGGTACCGTCACTTCAGTCCACGGTTTGTTTGCCCTTCAGTAGAGATGGAGAGTGGGCATTGCAAGGCATTAGTACTATGTTATTTGCTTTTTTTTTTGCTCTTTCCTAGCAGAATATCATTTCTAGATCTAGTGGCTTTTAAGCTTGGGTGGATAAATTCTGTTTTATGTAAGCCTTTAAGCAGAGGTGGTATGTGTGGCTCCAGAACTGCGGCCTGCATAAGCCATGGTTGGCTCCTGCCAACCCTTGTCTCTGTGCCAGGGGTTTGTGCTGCATGTTCCTGTGTCTGGTCTGCTCTTGCTGCTTAGGACTTGGGTGGCACCTTGGCCCAGCAGGTCCTGAACTGCATCTGTTGCGCTGCCCAAGGGACCCGTTCCAGGAGATGTTTTGCCACATACCAAGCAGGGCCAGGCTTGTCACAAGCTGTGGCTGCCCGATGAATATGGACTATTGGCACTGCTGTCCCCAATATAATTTTGAAACCAAGGGGGACTTTTTTTAATTTAAACATTTAAGAAGTAAGATACTTGATCATCACGACCAAAGGGATCTAGATCTGCATCTCTCATGGTGCAGGCTGAAGTATGCTAGAGGGGCAGCATCTTCACTCCAGATAGAGCTGAGCTGTGAGCAATGCAAGGGACCCTGCCAGAGAGTTATAGGGAAGGCTCATCAAAGGGCCTAAGGCTCCTGGGCTGGAATTTTTTAAGAGCAGGGCTGTAACGTGAAGACCTGGGGCACTTGAAGAAGGGCTTATAGGATGCTGGGTTCCTTTCCCTGCTATCAAAATGTGTTTTCAGTCTGCAGTGATTACAGAATGCAAAATAAAGAAACAGCTCTTTCTGGACACTAGGCTGTCATATGAAGGGTGGGAATGCCCTCAGACAAGCCTGCTTTCAAGTAAGATAGAGTGCTGGGTTATAGGAGGCTGGTCTTGAGCTCTACCACCCAGAAATCTTCCATGTGAATAGCAACACCTTCTAGAGCCCTCTATCTGCTTGTGAGAAGTTGAGATCATATGTTTTTAGAAGCTGTTCGCAGTACCTGCTTTTCTCTGTGTCCCATGCAAAAGCATAGCTCACCTTAGGCTCCCTTCTGGGAGCCTGACATGCATAGGAAAGATGGGCATTTCAGCAGTTTAAAAAAAAAAAAAAAACAAGGGCTGTGCAAGCCTAATAATACAAAGGAAGTAACTGAGATGCTTTTGTTTCCAAAACGAGTATGTGAATAAAGACTATTGTCATTTTTTCACAGAAATTGTTTTTCCACAGCTTTAGTATGTATATTAAGTTGATGCTATGGAAAGCTTTGCGTTTGCCAGCCATACCTAGGCAAAAATGGTAGTAATATCTTCCTATAATGAAGAGCTGAAAGAGGGATGAGTAGTGGGCTGTTGTGTGTATAGCCTAGAGAGAGGCTGTAGAGGTGCTAACAACCAAGCCACACAAAGCATCTGATCAGCAGGCAAAAATGAACAAGCTTTAACTAA